TTTTTTGAGTGGTAAGTTGCATCCCTGCTTTTGAAATGTTGGGATCCATCAGAGATCTTTCTGCCAAACATTTTACAGATCGCAATCCCTGCAAGTTTTGGAGAGTTTCTTCTTATTTAAAATACAAGCATGGAGAAGAAATCTTTGACAAGGGAGACCTGAATTTCATTGATATCTCTAGTGAGCGTTCTTCCCCATCATTCAACTTAAATCATCACAAGATAATCCTCATGGAATCAAGGCCTCACAAATGTACAATATGTAATAGATATTTCAAGCAGTTTAAACATGTACAGCAACATCTAAAAACTCACATAGAAGAAAGGCCTTACAAGTGTGACCATTGTGGTAAATGTTTTATTCAGAGTGGTCATTTAAAGTCACATAAACCAACGCATAATAGTGAAAAACCTTACAAGTGTGCCAAATGTAGTAAATGTTATAAAAGATTACCAAGCTTAAAGTCACATCAGCTTACTCATACTGGTGAAAAACCTTTCAAGTGTGACCAATGCAAGAAATGTTTTACGAGGATAGAATATTCAAATTCCCATCTAAGAACTCATACTGGAGAAAAACCTTACAAGTGCGACCAGTGTGGTAAATGTTTTATACAACACTACCATTTAAAGAGACACCAGAGAATTCATACAGGAGAAAAGCCTTACAAGTGTGACAAATGTGGTAAATGTTTAACAAGGCTATGCTACTTGAATTCTCATAAAGCAATGCATGCTATTAAAAAACCTTACAAGTGTGACCAATGTAATAAATGTTTCACACAGCTACAGCAATTTAAAAGACATCAAAGAGGTCATACAGGTGAAAAACCTTACAAGTGCGACCAGTGTGGTAAATGTTTTACATGTAAGAGTCTTTTAAAAAAACACCAGAAAATTCATATTGGAGAAAAACCTTACAAGTGTGACAAATGTGGTAAATGTTTTATACAACACTACCATTTAAAGAGACACCAGAGAATTCATACAGGAGAAAAGCCTTACAAGTGTGACAAATGTGGTAAATGTTTAACAAGGCTATGCTACTTGAATTCTCATAAAGCAATGCATGCTATTAAAAAACCTTACAAGTGTGACAAATGTAATAAATGTTTATCAAGTCTACATAGCTTAAAGTCACATCAAGGAATTCATACTGGTGAAAGACCTTACAAGTGTGACAAATGTAATAAAGGTTTTAGAAGTCTATATAACTTAAAGTTACATCTAGGAATTCATACTGGTGAAAAACCTTATAAGTGTGATCAGTGTGGTAAATCTTTTTTAACTTGTAGTAATTTAAAAAGACATCAGAAAACTCATACCGGAAAAAAGCCTTGTAAGTGTGACTAATATGGTAAATGTTTTGCACACAGTGGTAATCTAAATGTACACCTGAAATTGCATAAAATGAGGAAAGCCTTAAAAGTATGTGCAATGTGGTAAATGTTTTATGAAAGACAGTGCACTGAAGAAAAACGTTTCCAGTTTGACAAATGTAGTAAATGTTTTACACGACTGCACCACTTAGCGAGACATTAAAAAATTCATGTAGGCAAAAGCCTTTCAAGTGTGAACAATGTGGTAAATGTTTTACTACAAAAGTGATATAAGAGACAATACAAAAGCTACGGTAGATAAAAACCTTAAAGCATTTTATGATGTGTGTCAAATAAAATTTTTATTGGTTTCAAAACAGGTTTTTTGTTTGCATTGTATTTGTAGATTATGCTACATTGTTATACTTGACCTTGAAACCTTCTTTACTCACCATATGTCATTTAGAGATAAACATTCAGAATAAACTAAAAAGGTATTAACACTTGTTCGTTAGCTTAAAACAAATTGCAAACATCAGAGACTGGAAGTTATCAGCATGTGAACACAATATAAGTGCATGCAAGTTTCATGTAGGGCTACAGTTGCATTGGAAATTTGCTATGCAGAAAAACCTTTAAATATGTCTTATATGAGCAGAAATGGTTGGTATGTGCAGAAGGTATTATACAGTTCACCCATCACTATGACATACAATAAGTGTTTTAAAATACTGGGAATGACATTTTGGCAAATATTTAAATACATTGGGTAAATTATGTTTAAACAATAGAAAAACTGAGGAAAAGTATAAAACAGCTAAAAATGTATGATTGTACTTCAGAAAATTAACAAATACGTTTTACAATCATAATCTATAGCTTTGAAGCAGTTTATGCTCTAGGAAAATTGATTTTGCAATTGCCAGTATTGAAACGAGATGTTATCAGTAGGCCCACAGTGATTAAGCCAGCATGTTGTTAAAAAAAAACTTTGAAGAAGTCCATAAAGCATGTTTTGAAAGCAATTAGAGAAGTTAGATTAAAAAATTCGTAGTAAAAATGATCTAATTATTATCTTTTATATATACGGCTGCAAAGCTATACAATATATATATAACAGCATATTTTTTTAAAAGAGTAGAATAAACATGTTTGAATAACTTAGTACTGTTTTTTTTTGTGTGTGAATGTAATCTTAATTATTTAATTTTTATTGAAGCAGTATTTTGATAAGGATATTTGGGCGATAGTTTGGTCATAATATACAATGGTCTTTTAAAACCATTTAAATGTTAAAGTTGGTTCTAGCTGCATTGATTATAGGTGGTTTGTTCAGTGTGGCTTTGACCAGAGCTGCTTTGTTCACTGGTGGTTTGACCACAGTGCTAGGTCCATGGTTGGTTTGTCAGCATGTGGTTTTTTTTTATAACAATATATTGTTATTTTGTATTTAAATTAAAGGTGCTACTAGTGTATCCATCCCACATGTTACTGCAGTCTCAAAAGGAAAGCTGACACTTTAAGACTTTAAAAGGATTTCATCAATGCATTATCAATCATGTATTTTTAGATGTGTTACATTGTTTTCTAAAACCTGCGTTATTTTGATGTAAACAAAGCAAGCATTATATTTTTTGGATCAAAGTGGTTGGGGTGCTGGTTTGCACACACCACTGCCCAGACAACCCAGGGCTTGTTGAAAATCTTGTGTGTACGTTAAATCTCCCTCCATAATAGTGAGGCAGAGCAAACCTCAGCTATCACCCAGGTGTACTGGGCATTAAGGTTACACTACCACAGGGGCACTGGGTACGTCACCTAGATTGGTTTAAATATCAAATGTCTTGTGCCATCATGTCCCCATTGTAGAGTGCTTTTTAAAACGAATGTAGGCGCCATAGTGCTTGAGGACAAACCTGATTTGATAGAGTCTATGATTATAGTAGCCCATCGTATCCATAGTGTATCACTCTTTAAAACATACTTAAGCACTTAAGTGTTCACTAGGGATCCCGGGACACCAAGTAGAACATTTCCTGTGGTGCTGGAGGCCTTACCATGTTTGATTTAGAGAAAAATTTAAATCCAATCGTATTCATATTGCACTCTTTAGAGCTCAGGGAGCCATATTGCACCCTGCAGGATGATACCCCTGTGAAATTAAATTTTTGGATTCTATTGATCTAAACAATTTCACTAAGTTTCAAGGTGATCAAATAAAAGGTGTAGTAGTGCATAAGGGTAAACAAACATACTTACATACTTTAATTTATATCTATCTATATAGATATTTGTGCACGTATATATATATATATATATATATATATATATATATATATATATATATATATATATATGAAATCTTATGTGATAAATTCTCTTTAAGTTGCCAATAATAGTAATAAATGAATACATAAATGAATAAAGGTTTATATCTGTTTTTGGTCCACATTAGGCCAGTTGTGGTCAAATCCTTTGTTTAAACCACCTGTGTTCAAAGCATTTGTAAATTAGAATGGTATAATTTTAAAAATCAATGTTTTTCAAAAATTTAAAACTTTTGGAGGTAGGCCATCCTTGAAACATTTTGTTTTACACTTGGCTCCAGAACGATGAACATTAGTTCAATCACCTAACAGTAAAAGAAGTCAGTAAACTGTAATTAAAATGAGAGTACTAAGATTGCATTGTTATATACATAAATGCTAAAACTTTATTATCTGAATTAAGACTATCGTTTTCTATAAGTGTGGAAAATGTCTTCATTTTTATTTTCAAAAAACAGCACGAACCCTGTCACATGTAATTGACAAAGAATAAAAATAAACACAAATTGAACTGACCCACAAATATCACTTAAATTAATATTGTCCACATAAAACAGTTATCTCCCAGTCTCCATTGCTCATAATGCACTTTTCTATTATTGTTTTTATCTGCTCTATTAGTTCTCCTCACCTTCAGCATTGCATTTATGGAATATTAGGTCTATCCCTTGTTTGGTGTCAAGTGTCAGTAGGATGGTTTTGAATAATCAGATTCTGCCTACACCACTGGGTTTATATATTTATTTATAGGTAATTGCTACCTGACATGTCATCCATGACCTTTAACCCTACATTACATGATTTATACAGCCAGTGCTGCTGATAACAATCAATACAATGTTACACATTCCTGATACCTGAAACTTTCAAACTATGAGGCCATAAATAGTGAAGAAGAAAATATAAACATCGTTGATCACTACAAAGTACATACTAAGCAGACAAAATTACATTATTTTAACTAATAGATCTACCTATCTAATGCTGTACATAATAACTATCTCTACTACTTAGTCTCTAACACTCCACTAGGCATCATGCAAAAGATAATTACAAAATGCGTCATGGTTAGTCAAATAGTCACTGACTAAACCATGCACAGTTCTCCAATCAATCTTCCCACCCTTTACCTGCTCCACTGGGAGGTGGGGGGTGGGGGGGGGGAGTATGTGCCAAACCTAATTATGGTGTCTTGTCTGATTTATGGCTCACACCACAATTTTGTGGTCATCCTAGGGCATGGCCTCAGTCAATGTGGCATTTAATTCATAACTGTATGTAACAACATACTTTAATTCATAGCGTAAAACTAAATATCAAATGAAATATTATTATTAAAATCACCAACTAAGCAGGTTTGAGGTTATGGCTAGACATCACAATTGTGTATGAATAAATTATGATGAGCTGTGAAACACTGGTAAGATTTTTCTTTAAATATTATATATATATATATATATATATATATATATATATATATACACATAAATATAAATATAAATTGAGTTATGTTTGTGTACAATACATGATACAATGTTCAAACTGACCTTGCAGTCTTGTGACACTGAGCACCCTGGGCTCCCCCATGGTACATGCACTTGTTTAAAGAACCCTCTAGACTAGGGATTCTGTTGGCTACAACAATTGATGACTAAACCAAACTGGGGACAACATCGGTGCCCCTGATGCCTCACACTTGCTGAGGGTCATCAATTTACATTCAATGTTTTTACAGCCCACCCTGGGACATCTGGGCGTAGTATGGCCAAACTAGCACTACACAACTATGATATGAGAAATGTAGTGCTGTCATTGTTAAATATAGTCCTAATCAACTCAAAAGAATCAATTCGACATCTAGGAATAACTTGTAGTGTTAATTGATAATCCATGCGGATATTGGGATTGCACCTCACACTAAAGGGAGGTTTGAAGGCCATTCTTATTAAATTACTCAACAACTATAGGCCGGGGGGGGGGGGGGGGGGATTAATTTGTAATCAAACATACAAATTGAATTAATTTCTTCTAAGATACAAAAACTTAATATGTAACTAGCTTTGCTAAGTCATACTTAGACCATTTGAATTCGTTAAGATGTGTTACCAAAGTGCAGGAGATTTTATAAAATGTTTTGTTATAAATTTGGATTTAAATCAACACTAGCTACATAATTATCAAAGTATGGCACATTTATAATCACATTTCAAAGAACAATACTACTTTGCTGAAAGATGGTATTAGAGCCAGGTTTTTTCAATGAGTTATCATTTACTTCCTTTTTATATCTTATCCCTACATGTATGGTAGCAGAGAATTCTGAATCTGAACTTCAGGAAAAGAAAAGTAAAGTGGAGCTTGACTATTTTTCAGCATCTTATGAATCTGATCCTGAATGGCCCCCAGTTTTAGAAGGTAACTCATTTGTAATTTTATGAATGTCAAGATGTCTTAAAAATAGTTCTTTGCTTAAAAACTATTTTTAATATGAATAGGTGGAGAGAATAGAAGGAAAGCAAAGATATCAGGTGTTTTGTGTCAGCCTGAGAAAAGTAAAGTGAATTCTAAACTAATGGTCAGTAAAAGAAATATTTCTAAAATGTATTTCTTATTTGTATTAGTATTAATCTATTGTCTAAAATTGTGTTCTGTGTATCATGAAATTAATAATAGGGTGACATGAGGGGTTTAAACTATTCTTTATGTAACATTTCTAAATTTATAGTTGCAGTTAATACTGCTCAAAACATATCCATACCCTTCCAAATTTAATGAAACAATGTACAGTTTTAACGAATGAAAATTTTAACTTTAGGAAGTGCAAGTTATAAAAAACCTGCATTGTTTTTCACCAACAAATGCTCCAGATCAGGTGACAACACACATTGAAGATGATGAATATCTCTGTGAGTACTGTTGAAAAACATAGTATCTCTATTAGTTTGTTACAAGTTATAGACAGGAGTTAACTAACATTATATATATTTCTTATCTTATTAAAATATAGAGCATTCAGTGGCATAGGCAGGGGGAGGAGGGGAGGGGGGGGGGGGTAGGGAGGGTTACAACACTCCCCCCCATGGACCCCTCTGTAAATTTTTTGTACTGTCATAATGCCACTTTTACTTACTTTCTGAATCAGTATATATATATATATATATATATATATATATAATTGTATATATATGTTTAGAACCGTCTTCTAAAAACTGACGCTATGTTCACTCTGAGTTGGTTTCCACCAGCCCCCCCCCCCCCCCCCCTACTTCACCACTTAAAACGGGACACAACATTAATGTCACACCTAGGTATACGCTGGGTAGGATAATTGACCTAAAGTGACCGGACAGCGGTGAATGAAGATTTTAGCATTTATGATGACAATATATTTAATTCTGATTGTAGACAACATATTGTTGTAAAACGAATAATGTTAAGCTATTATACTACATACTTAAGTAATTATTGATATGTTTTGACATTAACAATTAAATTTGTAGAAATATAGATATTTATATTAAGAGGGTGATTATTTCCCCTAGTTCGCTGGTCTTAATATTCTAGGAATCATTATGTCAAATTGTTTTTTACAAGGATTACAAAACAGATTGTGTAGCATTCATTGTTTTTGGTTGTATTGTTTGTATATATTTTTTTTTGTTTAGAGTGATAAATTGTTTTGTTTTGTCAGCCTACATTGTGTGTTTTTTCTTATTTCTTCAGAGTTTTTGGTTGTAGTGTGTGTATACTTTTTTTTTTTAGATTAATAAAAATATTTTTGTCGGCCAACATTGTGTGTTTTTTCTTATTTCTTCAGAGTGCTACTTTCAATTTATTTTACTTCATAGCGAAGTAATGACATACAGCTAGTAATTATATATATATATATATATATATATATATATATATAGTTATATACTAAATAGTTATACAGTTATATTTATGGACAATGTGAAATTCAAGTTCTGACTTAAACTTTTATCTTATCTCTTAATGTTAATCCTGACTAGATCCATTTTGTCAGTTGCTTTGGTGTTTTATTTCAGTTTGTGAAGAGTGCAATATTGAATACAAAGGAAATTGTACTGTACATGGTCCTCTAAATATCATATCAGATGCACAGGTAAAAAATTGGCTGTTGTAATTTCAGTTAGCTAAAACAGGGGTAGTGTCCTTAGTAGCACTTTATGTTTACTAATGTAATTGTATTACCAACCCATAGAACTAGTACCCGTATTTTAGCATTTAGCAAATGGTAAAAGGTGTATAAAAAACAACTAAAGATTTAATTGTAAAGTTTCAAAAGTAAGATTTTCACTGTAAAGCTATGAGACATGTATATAAATAAAGAAATTGAGGTGAGAAAATTCTAAAATTGAAATGTTTTTTGTTGTGTGAAACAGGTTCCACCAGACTGCATCAGAGGCAAGGATGCAGATTACTGTAGGAAAACTCTTCCCCCTGGGCTGGTCATTAAAACATCTGATATACCTGATGCTGGACTTGGTGTTTTTGCTACAACATTTTTTCCTGCTCGGACAAGATTTGGACCTTATGTTGGGAAGAATAAGAGCATTGAACAGTGTCATGACTCTAAGTATTGTTGGCAGGTGAGCTATGTAGATGAGAATGAGTCGTTCTGTTATAAGATATAAAAACTGAAAGATTAACTATGTTTTTCTTACTTGGATTATTTTGCTATGTTTATTCAATTTTGATACCCAGGGTACAATATTAGGCAAAGTACCCTTATGAACTGTATGGCCCATGAAGTTCACCTGTTATAGATAACCTCGGCAAATAAAGGGATAATGTGGTCAGCACTATGCGCAACTGTCTTTACCTGAGTCAGATATCCATCAGAGCTGGATGTAATCAGGGATGTCATACAGACTCAAGCCTGGATCTGAACTCAAGACTTGGATTAGTAGTCAAAGGCTCTATGAGTTGACTATGTCATACAGACTTAAGCCTGGATCTGAACTCAAGACTTGGATTAGTAGTCAAAGGCTCTATGAGTTGACTATGTCATACAGACTTAAGCCTGAATCTGAACTCAAGACTTGGATTAGTAGTCAAAGGCTCTATGAGTTGACTATATCATCCAGTAGTCAAAGGCTCTATGAGTTGACTATGTCATCCAGTAGTCAAAGGCTCTATTAGTTGACTATGTCATCCAGTAGTCAAAGGCTCTATGAGTTGACTATGTCATCCAGTAGTCAAAGGCTCTATGAGTTGACTATGTCATCCAGTAGTCAAAGGCTCTATGAGTTGACTATGTCATCCAGTAGTCAAAGGCTCTATGAGTTGACTATGTCATCCAGTAGTCAAAGGCTCTATGAGTTGACTATGTCATCCAGTAGTCAAAGGCTCTATGAGTTGACTATATCATCCAGTAGTCAAAGGCTCTATGAGTTGACTATGTCATCCAGTAGTCAAAGGCTCTATGAGTTGACTATGTCATCCAGTAGTCAAAGGCTCTATGAGTTGACTATGTCATACAGTATTCAAAGGCTCTATGAGTTGACTATATCATCCAGTAGTCAAAGGCTCTATGAGTTGACTATGTCATCCAGTAGTCAAAGGCTCTATGAGTTGACTATGTCATCCAGTAGTCAAAGGCTCTATAAGTTGACTATGTCATCCAGTAGTCAAAGGCTCTATGAGTTGACTATGTCATCCAGTAGTCAAAGGCTCTATGAGTTGACTATGTCATCCAGTAGTCAAAGACTCTATGAGTTGACTATGTCATCCAGTAGTCAAAGGCTCTATGAGTTGACTATGTCATCCAGTAGTCAAAGGCTCTATGAGTTGACTATGTCATCCAGTAGTCAAAGGCTCTATGAGTTGACTATGTCATCCAGTAGTCAAAGGCTCTATGAGTTGACTATGTCATCCCTAGGTTATAATATTATATTAAATGGTTAAGCTTTTTGCCTTCTGTAAATATCAAAATCGTTGCCGTCATAAATTAGTTTTTCTTTCCCTAGTGGCAAACTTTTCTGTTTAAGAGTTTTATATTTAGCTAATTAAAATTATAACTGTATTATAGAGTAATTCTAAAGTAATGTGTTTTCCAAAACAACAACTAGATCTAGTAACAGCTCCTCCCTCTTTCCCAACCACCCCCCCCCCCCCACCCTCACCCCCCTGTTAAATTAAAAAGCAGGCAGGAGTAGTTATGTCTATGGTGTGAACTCTACAAGCTCATGGACAGCTACTTGATCTAGCCACTTGTTTCACTAGCCTGGATGTCACACTATTGCTCAAACAATTTAACATTTTGGCTTTGGTGTCACTCTTCTCCCATTACAATTGTATTATTTTAACTGGATCAAATATTGTTTTTTCAGTACATTTTTTTGTGTTTTTTTTAGCAATAGTTTTTCCCCTTAGTTTAAAGCAATTTAGATTCAAATTGCAATCCTTTTATTTATTTTAAAAAAACCCATTTATTATGTGTAATGTAGACGATTATCATCAGTCATCATTATGCTGATACATTTTTTATAGTATTTCACTGTACTCAGTTAATTTGTATAAAAAAAGTATGAAAGTATTATTGTTAAATAAGGTTAAGGTCAGAAGCCAATTCATATGAATAATCATGATTTTTGTTTTTATCGTAAATTGTTTTGGGGCACGCAGCGTTGCCATAAAGACAAATATTGAATAACAAGGTTCTTACACTGTCTGGAAATTCTGGAAAATGTTTTTAATTAAGAGTAGAATATTTCATTTTTAAAGTTGTCTGGAAATTTTGATGTTGGGTTAAAAAAAATGAAAGAATATGGAATAAAAAATGATAAAACTTGTCATTGATAAAAAAAAATACTTAGTATAGCCATTCTTCACTCCTCACATTTTTCCCTTCACAACTTTGCACTAGATGTATTATCCCTTCTCATGATATATACCTCATATATTATGTCTAAGAGGTCTAGTGTTTACTTTGTTCTACAGTACTATATTGATTATTTACAGTTTACACTCAGCTGTGTTGGCTGTAGATGATGGTATTTAAAAAAATGTAATACCTCCTTCTACACAAGTATCACATATCTCCACAAAAAATCAGACACCCTATTAAAACTAAAAAAAACTTAGCAATCACATTTCAGAAAAAGATTTATCAAACCATACAACTTTGTAATTTAATTCATGTGTCTGTTTATTCAAGGGAAACAATTCAATATTTTTAAAAATGTGTAGTGCTTGAATTATGATTTATTTAAATTAATCACAGTCCAGCAATAAACTTTTCTGAATTTTGTTTGAAAATTAAATTTTTTGTGTTTGTTGTAACAAAGATGTATTTTGAAGAAATATATTCAACTATTGGATGTCCAACAGGACCCAAGCCCCTTAGTCCATATGCTTTCACAAAAGTCTACTTTTTTCTTGCTAGTGTGATCATCTCCCTTTTTATGCCTCAATCTTCTAGAGCTCTACATTTGAACTGCACATTTTTGGCATGCTCTATATTAATATCCTTGGAATTTCCTCATTCCAAACTGAGGCCTCTGTATCTGCCTTTTTCAGATACCTCACAATTTAAATGACTTTTTAATTACTAGATTTATAAGATTGGAAATGATAGTTCTGGTTCTATATTGTTCTTCAGATCATGAAGAATGGAAGGCCATCCTATTGTGTAGATGGTGGTGATAGTTCTGATTCTAATTGGATGAGATTTATAAATTGTGCACGTTTTGAGGATGAGCAATGTGTCACAGCATACCAACATCAGGGTGAAATCTTCTACAGGGCTCATAGGGACATACCAGCTGGCACAGAAATACTGGTGGGTACATCTGTCTTAGATAGATAAGTTGACATCATTGAATACTGGTGGGTACATCTGTCTTAGATTGATAAGTTGACATCACAGAAATACTGGTGGGTACATCTGCCTTAGATAGATAAGTTGATATCACTGATATCACTGTTAAAAAACATGCATCATTTACAAACTAGATAATATTTGTAACAAAAAAGTTTATGCTTTATTAAATTTATCCAAGATTGCTCACATTAAAAATTTACTGCCGCATGTGGAATAACCCTTACAGGTCTTTAGAATCTGCATAAACTACAACTTCAGTATTGAATTTCACTTAATTTTATCATAAAAATTTGCTATTGTTGAACAGTGAGTACAAAGAGAAAAAAATTAAAAAAGGAGCACTATACAGAATTATAAATTATTTTATCTGCAACTGCTTATGTTCAGCTAAAGTAATATCAGTACAAAGATTTATTCAATGAGTGGTTGAACCTTTGAATACATCTGCTTTTAAATAAATTTTAGCATTTCTTTTAATTTTAGATTAATTTTTCTTCACATACAAATCTAAATTGAATTTGAGGTTTAAATATAAGTTTAGTACTAAAATTTCAGGATTTCCATTCCATTCCATTAACATGTTTATCAGTGTTTGGGTTAAGCGTTAACTTTCTAGTTACATTAAAGATAAGTTTTAATTATATGGCAAAAGTGTTAATTATAATTTTGTGCTGTTTTGTGTTTTATTGTGTTATGTTATTTTGTTATGAACAAGAAGAGGGTGGGGAGGGTGGCTGCTCCATGTGCCAACTTTGATGGGCTGCTGATATGGGTAGAAAAAATATTATAGCTTACTTTGAGTAACATAACATTACTGAATAATAGTAAGAGAAAGGGCAACATTTTTTTTTTGCAATGAAGCCTTGGCCTAGAACATAATGTTGTAGAGTTTGAAGAGGTTAATGGTTCACTCCAAGAGCCAGAAAGGATAGTTCTGGATTGGAATTAGCTAGTACACACCAACACCTGGGCAGTTGCAAGTGACAAACACCTGGGGAAATACAGGTGACACAAATGTGTGGGCAGAAGTAGCCAATACCCACCAAACACCTAGGCAGATATAGGTACATAGTATCATTTGACTGTTGACTAGGATTCATCTGATTTATGACATTTTCAGGTGTATTATGGTGATAGTTACGCCAGAGACCTGGGCATTGAGGTAGATAGGGCTAACGCTGTTAGCAAGAACAGTTTGCTAAAGAATATGAGCAACAAGAATGGTAAATATATTTATTCATTTATTTCAACTTTTAGTATTGTCTGTGTCACTTAGTCTATATTTCATGTCTGTAAGTGTATACATAGTCATTCACTACCCAGTATGATCTCACTATGCTCCTCCTCATTTTGGTCATCAAATTTCAATTGTTTTAGTTAAAGCAAGTAGTCTATTTGTTTCCCACAATATCATATGTCAACATCACTTAAATATAGTTATCTAAAATATAGTTTTCTTTTTCGGTACAAGATCTTTTGCAGGGATGTAGCTTTTGTTTTCCAGAATTATGACATTTTGATTAAAAGAATTGTCTGTAAAAAATATTATTCCTATGCCAGATAAAAATAAGGTGGGAGTGATCTCCCTTAAACTTTATCATACATTCTTATATGACAACTAGCGGGCACATCCATGCGCTTTGTCGCAGGGTTAAAAGAAAGTCCAGGATAGCCCTGAGCAAATCGCCTGATTTGTTTACTGAACAACTATAATACATTTTTTATACATATTCTATCACACTCTTTAAAATTAACGTATGCACCATAAGCACTACCGGGATATCCTGGTGTGCCAAATAGCATCTTGTCGGGCGCAGGCAAATGCACCTTATTCAATTTAGTGAATGACTTAACGTCCCATCTTATTCATAGTCTATCGCACTGTTAAAAAGGAACGTAGGCGTCATAGCGCTCACAGAATAACCTGGGGCACCAAATTGCACCCTACCAAGGCGCCACCGTGCAAAATTGAATTTTTTTTCGCAGTAACCTCCCCAGAAGTATTCTCAACAACTTCCCCAAAGTTTTGTAGCGATCAGATGAAAGGTGTAGCAATGCATAAAAGACAAATGAAATAATAATATATTAGGAGGGTTTCATCAATGCTTTACCAATCCTATATTCTTAGACGTGTGACCTTGTTTTCTAAAACTGAGTTATTTAAATGTAAACAATGCCTGCATATGGATCATATTTATCAAGTTATGGGTTTACCTACACTACCGCCCAAAAAAAAGCCAGGGGCGCAAAATCGCACCCTACCAGGGCGCTGGCGGATACAGTTTAGGTAACGACTATAATGCCCCATTTTATCCATTGTCTATTGCACTGTTTAAAATGAACATAGACGCCCTATAATTTCACACCAAATGAATGCAAACAGTGTGCGTACAATAGAGCAGAAAATTAGTACTTTATAAAGAAACATTTATTAATCTGTAAAAAGTTATAAAACATCTAAATTAAATCAAATTGCATAATTATCGAGTCTTGACCAACATGAAAAGTTTAAAAGAAATAGATACTGCAGAAGTGGTCCCAATTTTGTTCGCAAGTTTCTGCATACAACAGATGAAAAAAAGGGGAATTTATTTATTTAAAAAAATCAATACCCTACCAGTAACTGGAAATCTTTTAAAAGTTGACAGAAGTCGTTCAGTTCAGTTTTGTTCACCTAACTGAAATTTTACCAAAGTTATCAGTTTTTTTTAGAAACCAGAATTTAGGGTAAAGTACCAGTTACATATATCGGAGGTCACTCAAAAATTTAAAATTAATTCAAGTATAAGATCTTATACTTGAAATTTCATCTACATAACTTAAACAATTTTTAAGTTTTTGTGTTCCCACAGAAACAAGTACCAGTTCCAGTTATTGGAAATTGTTCAAAAGTTGATAGAATCTTGTACATACAATCTTATACTAATATGTAAAATTTCATCCACCTAACTGGAAGTATAATAAGTACCACTTCCAGTTAATGAAAATCGCTAAAAAATTAATATAATATTTATATATTAAATTTTTGTCATTTTAACTAAAACAGCACTCAAGTTATCGTGTTTACATACACATAGAAAAAAGGACTAGATTGCAATACTAAGTTTTTTGGACTCTGGGTGGTGTTACAAAATTTCAAATTCTCAATTTTGATTTTTTTTTCTAAATTTTAGATTCTAAAGAATTGATATCTTTTATATATAATTTTGGATATCTAACTTAAGAATGGCAAATATTAATTTGTGTTGAAACAATGTGATATTCTGCTATTTATAAAATAAATTTGTAAATAAATTAATGGTATCCACTTTCCAGAACCCTTTAGCTACTCACATTTCCTTAACCCCCTCCCCTTCAACCTAAATATCCTATTGTGGTAATTGATATGCCTCAGGGACTCTAAAAGACACAATTGTGTCTTCTGGCTCAACATTATCAGCTCTTTTAAAAAGAAAACCTAATTTAAACTTTATTGTTTTTTAGAGTTTATTTTTATTAGGTTAAAAACTAAATTCATGGAGTTATTAGGTTCAATAAAATGACAGAAAACATTTTTTAATTTCATTGATTGGTCAGTTATGTCTCTGCTTTTCAAATGTTGGGACCCATCAGAGATTTTTTTTGCCAAAAATTTTACAGATTGCAATCCCTGCAAGTTTTGGAGAGTTTCTTCTTATTTAAAATACAAGCATGGAGAAGAAATCTTTGACAAGGGAGACCTGAAATTCATTGATATCTCTAGTGAGCATTCTTCCCCATCATTCAACTTAAATCATCACAAGATAATCCTCATGGAATCAAGGCCTCACAAATGCACAATATGTAACAAATGTTTCAAGCAGCATAAACATTTACAGCAACATCTAAAAACTCACACTGGAGAAAAGCCTTACAAGTGTGACCATTGTGGTAAATGTTTTAGTCAGAGTGGTCATTTAAAGTCACATAAACCAACGCATAATAGTGAAAAACCTTACAAGTGTGCCAAATGTAGTAAATGTTATAAAAGATTACCAAGCTTAAAATCACATCAACTTACTCATACAGGTGAAAAACCTTTCAAGTGTGGCCAATGCAATAAATGTTTTACAAAGATAAGTTATTTAAATTCCCATTTAAGAACTCATACTAGAGAAAAACCTTACATGTGTGACAAATGTGGTAAGTATTATAAAAGCAATTATGCTTTAAAGCAACATCAGATACTACATGCAGAGGAGATTCCCTACCAGTGTGACCAATGCAATAGATGTTTCACACAGCTACAGCAATTTAAAAGACATCAAAGAGGTCATACAGGTGAAAAACCTAACAAGTGCGACCAGTGTGGTAAATGTTTTACATGTAAGAGTCTTTTAAAGCAACACCAGAAAATTCATACTGGAGAAAAACCTTACAAGTGTGACCAATGTGGTAAGTATTTTACTTGGAATAGTACTTTAAGGCAACATCAGATACTGCATGCAGAAAAGAAGCCCTACCAGTGTGACCAATGTAATAAATTTTTCACACAGCTACAGCAATTTAAAAGACATCAAAGAGGTCATACAGGTGAAAAACCTTACAAGTGCGACCAGTGTGGTAAATGTTTTACAAGTAATAGTGTTTTAAATCAACACCAGAAAACTCATACAGGAGAAAAACTTTACAAGTGTGACCAATGTGGTATATGTTTTACAAATTTTAGTAATTTAAATTTACACCTGAAAGCTCATATTGGAAAAAGGTTTTACATGTGTGACCAGTGTGGTAAATGTTTTATAAATAATAGTGATTTAAAGACACACCAGAAAACTCACACTGGAGAAAAGCCTTACAAGTGTGTCCAATGTGGTAAAGGTTTTACAAAAAAAAATCATTTAAAGATCCACCAAAATATTCACACTGGACTAAAGCCTTACAACTGTGTCCAATGCGGTAAATGTTTTGGGCATAGTGGTAATCTAAACTTACACCTGAAATTGCATAATGGAGGAAAGCCTTACAAGTGTGTCCAATGTGGTGAATGTTTTACATGCAATAGTGTTTTAAAAAAACACCAGAAAATTCATACTGGAGAAAAACCTTACAAGTGCAACCAATGTGAAAAATGTTTTACATATAGTTGTCTTTTAAAAAAACACCAGAAAATTCATACTGGAGTAAAACCTTACAATTGTGACCAATGTGGTAAATGTTTTATAAATGCTTTTGATGTAAAGAGACATCAGAGAATTCATACACAAGAAAAGCCTTTCAAGTGTGCCCACTGTGGTAAATGTTTTGCACAAAGTGGTAATTTAAATTTACACCTGAAAGCTCATATTGGAAAAAAATCTTAGATGTGTGACCGATGAGTTAAATGTTTTATAAATAAAAGTGATTTAAAGAAGCATCAGAAAATCCACTGAATAAAAGCCTTATAATTGTGTTAAATTTCTTACTAGGCAACATCACTTTTGAAGAAATCAAAGAGTTGATAGAGGCAAAAAACATTCCAGGTCTGAATGTCGTGTTACTAGCTTGACAACAAACTTGATTGAAATAGAGACACCACAGAATCGTCACATGAGAAAACCTTATTAGTTTGATTCATATGATTTCAATTGTTCTAATCACTCAGAAAAAATCCATAAAATATTTCCTTGAACTTGCCTCTATGGTATAATTTGTTAGTTTATGTAACAGCCACTGTTTTGTGATTTCACTTTGTCAAATAAAACAGTTGAAATTTCAAATCAGGTTGTTGTTTATTTGTAAAATTTGTGTAAATTAAAAATATGATTACTAGCAATGGGTTTGTGGGAACCACTGGTTGAACTACCACAATATTTGACTCATTACTATACCTGTGTTGTGTTACCTCAAGAGATAGGCCCCTACACACACTAACCCTAAGTGGAGGATAAGACAAGACCTATTTGGTGTCAATCATAATACTTTGTGTAAATGGGAAAATAGCCTTTAGTTTTGTTCTGACACAAGGCAGATCTTACTACATGTATTCATCAAAAAGAATGAGCTCTAGTTATATGGACCCAGTTTATGCTTATAATTAATATAAATGGCAAAAAAAAAATTTAAATATGAGAAAGAAACTTCACATACTTTAAAATGAGTAACAAAGCTTATACACTAAAGTAAGTTTTATAAATAGACCTTTATAAACTAAGTCACATGCAATGCTCTGTGGAGATACAGTAGTTTAATAAACTACTAAATTTAAATGTGTGATATATCTCACATGATAAAAAGTGTGCTTCAATTTAAAATTTAATAAGATCTTACTAAAGTTTGCATAAACCCAAAACCCATTTTTCTTGTATGATGTAAGTGACATATTTGACTTTTCAACCATTAAACCAGAATGTTATACTAATGTCAAACAAAAAGAACAGGATAAAGTGTGGTCGCAACTCCAAAAGTTTCAAATATGGACCTGTGGGCAAATGTGGCTCAGTTAGCTAGGAACAGCAACCCATCTAAGAGAGAAAACTGCAAACATGAAACAACTGCAGCCTTGTATGTTGTACTTCGTTGAAGGCTAAGGAAGCAAAGCCAGAAAGAAAAGCAGGCTGAAATTGAGTCAACAGTTCATATGGTGCTTAACATATTGACTCATAATACTTACTTTTGTTGAAAGAAATCCCCCCCCCCATTATTAATAACTATAACAAAGAAGTAAAAAGAAACAAAGCTATGCATGTTCCATTTGTCACTTTTAAAACAGGATTGTCTGCTTTAGCTGAATAGAAATCAAAACTAGAAGCCGCAAGCCCCTGCCCCCCACCTCAACCACCTACCCATTAATTATGTCAATATATTTAACCATCAAAGAGCAATTTCCCTGCAACTTGCCTGCAAGTACCCGATCTAATACTATATGAAAACCCTAACACATGTTAACACATTATATAAAAGACTTAACACATGTTAGCTCATTCAATGACAGCATTAACACATGTTAACATATGATATGATAGCCCTAACACATGCTAACACATTCATTGAAAGCCTTAACACATGTTAACATATTATTTGAAAGCCTTAAAGTTTTAAATCATGTTTACACATTATATAAAAGCCATAACACATGTTAATACATTATATCAAATGTCTACTCATTATTAGAAAGTCTTAAAACATGTTAACACATATATAAGGCTTTCAAGTAATGTGTTAACATACGTTAAGGCTGTCAAATATTATGTTCACATCTGTTAGGAATTTCATATAATGTGTTAAACTATGTTAAAGCTTTCATTTAATGTCTTAACATGTGTTAAGGCTTTAAAATATTGTGTTAACATGTGTTAAAGCTTTAAAATAATGTGTTAACATGTGTAAAGGCTTTCAAATAATGTTTTAACATGTGTTAAGACTTTAAAATAATATGTTAACATAATTATGTTAAGCCTTTCAAATTTTCAACATGTGCTAAGGCTTTCATATAATGTGTTAACATGTGGTAAGGCTTTCATATCATGTGTTGACTTGTGATAAGGCTTTCAAATAATGTGTTAACATGTGTTATTGCTTTCATATAATGTGTTAACATGTACTAAGGGTTTTGTATCATCTGTTAACGTGTGCTAAGGCTTTCAAATAATGTGTTAGTCTGTTTTTAGGCTTTCATATCATGTTTTAACATGTGTTAAGGGTTTCATATAATGTGTTAACATATGTAAGGGCTTTCAAATAATGTGTTAACATGTGTTAGGTCTTTCATATATTTTTGTTAACATATGTTAATGCTTTCAAATTATGTGTTATCATGTGTTAAGGCTCTAAAATAATGTGTTAACTTGTGTTAATGCTTTCAAACGATGTATTAAATTGTGTTAAGGCTTTCAAATAATGTGTTAACATGTGTTAATGTTTTCATATAATGAACATGTGTAAAGGTTTTCCAAAAATATGTAAGCATGTGTTAAGACACATTATATGAAAAACACATTATATGAAAACCTTTGCACATGTTCACACATTATTTGAAAACCTTAACACATGTTAACATGATATTTGAAAGCGATAACACATGTTAACACATTGAAAGTTTTACAACATGTTAACATATTTTTGGAAAGCCTTAACACATGCTCACACATTTTTGGAAAGCTTTAACACATGTTAACACATGATTTGAAAGCCATAACACATGTCAACACATTTTTAGAAAGTCTAAACGCATGTTAACACATTATTTGCAAGCCTTAACGCACGATAACACATGATTTGAAAGCATGTTAACATATTATTTGAAAGGCTTTACACATGTTAACAGATGCTATGTAAGCCCTAACACATGTTAACATAATTTATGAAAGCCTTAAGAAATGTTAATACATTTTTTTAAAGCCTTCAAACATGTTAACACATGCTTTAAAGCCTTAGCACATGTTAAAACAATATTTGAAGGCCTTTACACATGTTAACACATTATATGAAAGCCTTTCCACATGTTAACATATGACATGAAATCCATAACACATGTTATTACATGATTTCACAGCCGGAACACATGTTAACAAATGATATAACATGCGTAACACATGTTAACACATCAAATAACAGTCGTAACACATGTTAACACATGATTTGAAAGCAGTAACACATGTTGACAAATCATATGAGAGTCGTTACACATGTTAACACATCATAATCAGCGGTAACACATGTAAACACATATATGATAGCCGTAACACATGTTTACATACGATATGACAGCCGTAACACATGTTAACACATGGTATGAAAGTCATAACACGAACATATGTTAACATTATATGTTAGCCTTAACAAATGTTAACATATGATATGAAAGCAGTAACACATCATAACATATCATATGACAGTCGTAATACATGTTATAACATCATATGACAGTCGTAACACATGTTAACATATATGATCTGAAAGCCGTAACACATGTTATCATATGATATGACCACCGAAACTTATGTTAACATATGATGTGAAAGTCGTAACACATGTCAACATATAATAGGAGACATGATATAACAGTCATAACACATGTTATACACAGGATATGACAGTCGTAACACATGTTAACATATGATATTAAATCATGAAAATCGTAATACATGTTAACACATATGACACCCGTAACACATGTTAACACTTTATTTGACAGCCGTAACACATGTTAACACGTCATATGACAGCCGTAACACATTTTAACACATGATATGACATCCTTATTACATGTTAACATATGATTTAAAAGCCGTAACACTTGATAGTCGTAACATATGTTAACATTTGATATTAAAGTCGTAACACACTTTAACATATGATATGACAGCCGTAACACATGATAATAATGGTATGAAAGTCATAACACATGTTAACACTTGATATGACAGTCGTAACACATATTAACACATCATATGACAGACGTAATACATGTTAACACAAGATATGAAAGCCGTAACACCTGTTAACATATCATACGACTGTCGTTACTCATGTTAACGCATGATATGAAAGTCGTAACTCATGTTAACAAATCATATGACAGCCGTAACACATGTTAACACATGTTATAAAAGTCATAACACATGTTAACTTATGATATGAAAGCCGTAACACATGTTAACACATGACATGACAGCATTTACACATGTTAACATATGATATGACAGATGTAACACATGTTAACACATCATATGTCAGTCGTAACACATGTTAACACATTATATGACAGTGGTAACACATGTTAACATGATATGACAGCTGTTACACATGTTAACACATTATCTGACATCCGTAACACATATTAACATATCCTATGACACTATTTTCACCTGCTATCACATCATATGACAGTCTTAACACATGTTAACACATCACATATGACAACCGTAACATATGTTAACACATTATATGAAAGTCATAACATTTTAAAAATGATATGAAAGTCGTAACACATGTTAACACATAATATGCCATCTGTAACACATTTTAACACATATAACAGTATTTCACATGCTATCACATAATATGACAGTCTTAACACAGGTTAACACATCATATGACAACCGTAACATGCTATCACATCATATTACAGTCTTAACACATGATAACACATCATATGACTACCTTAACACAGGTTAACACATTATATGACAGCCGTAACACATGTTAAAACATGGTTTGAAAGTCATAACACATGTTAACACATGGTATGACAGCCGTAACACGTGTTAACACATCTTATGACAGTCGTTACACATGTTAACACATATAACAGTCGTAAGACATGCTAACATATGAGATGCCTACCTTAACACAAGTTAACACATTATATGACAGCCATAAAACATGTTACTATATCCTTATTACATGTAAACATATGATTTCAAAGCTGTAACACATGTTAACACATCATATGACAATCTTAACACATATTAACACATGATATGATGGTCGTAACACATGTTAACATATGATATGACAGCCATAACACATGTTAACACATTATATGTTAGCCTTATAAATGATAACATATATGAAAGCAGTAACACATGTTAACATATCATATGACAGTCCTAACACATGTTATAACATTATATGACAGTCGAAACACATGTTAACATATGATATAAAAATCGTAATACATGTTAACACATTATATGACACACGTAACACAAATTAAACTTTGAT